TTACTACTACTACTACTACTACTACTACTACTACTCTACGACTACGACTACGACTACGACTACTACTACTACTACTACTACTACTACTACTACTACTACGACTACGACTACTACTACTACTACTACTACTACTACTACTACTACTACTACTACTACTACCCTACTACTTCTTCTACTACTACTACTACTACTACCTTCTACTACTACTACTACTACTACTACTACTACTACTACTACTACTACTACTACTACTACTACTACTACTACTACTACTACTACTACTACTACTACTACTACTACTCCTACTACTACTACCACCACCACCGCCACTGCCGCCGCAGCTGCTACCACTATAAACGCTACCGCCGCCGCCGCCGCCGCCGGTGCCACCACCACCGCCGCATGACATACTGCTAATTTAGTGGAATGGGGCAATCTATCTCCCACGATCTAACCTTCTTGGGCTCAATTCCTGGTGGCGCCTGTGCAGCCTGCTTGGGGGGAGCTATCATAGCATTGCCATTGCCACTGTAGGGGGAACTTCTGTAGAAGGGATTCTGTGCAAGTCAGGCCGCTTACATGTCTGTAAGGCTTTGCATAACCAGGAATTCTGAAATTCAGACAAATGAGCGCCGCATGCGGAGACGCGCTGCGCAGAGGCAAGACATCCCCAATTCGGGGCCCCTGGATGAGACCTAAGGCCCCCCTGGGGCCCCCATGCAAGGTAGGCGCCTGGCACAGGGCCCCCCTGTCAGACGCAGATGCGCGCTACCCTCTGGTGTGCCTGAAAGGCCTTGAGGCCCCCAAGGACCCTGGCGCCGCAAGCGCCAGGTCCCCCCCGAAAGCCTGGGAGGGCTGACAACCCCAGCCCCCAGCAGCCACCGCCACCATTGCGAAAGGCCGCCGCCACCGCTGCCGCCGCGGGCCGCCACCCCTGCTGCTGCCTCTGGCAGTGCCACTCAGGCCCACCACCGCCGCCGCTGCTGCGCCGACAGCCACCACCACCCGCCGCCCCCCCCCCCGCCAGCGCGACCCAGCCATCCACCGCCACGGGCAAGCAAGCCAGCAAACGCGTTTGTTTCAGGCACGCCGCAGCCAATACCATCACCGCGGCCACCGCCCCCGCCGAGCACTGCCCCACAACTATCGCTGCCCCCGCCGCTGCTGTTGCCGCCCCCACCAAAGGCCCCACCAGCCGCCCCGCCCGCCACCGCCGCCCACACCACGATCACTCCCAATGCCCCTGGCTGCCCAGCCGCCACCACCTCGGCCGCTGCTTGCTTGCCCGAAGCACCCAACACCGCGGCCCCCACAACCTCGTCAGCCCCCGCAGCGGCCGCGCTCGCCGCCGCCGCTGCTGCCGCCACTGCCGCCGCCCATGCTGCCGCCCGCGGCGACGACAGCCGCCGCCCCCCCACGGCTGCGTTCGCCACTGCCACCACACTGCCACCGCGCACGCCACCGCCACTGCCGCCACCACCACCACCACAACGACAACGACGACCACCACCACCACAGCTAGAATAGGCGACGTGTCATAGAATGAGGCAAGCAGAATATGGCCCCTTCCTTCCACTCCAATTGTCTGTATTGTAGTAAAATGGGGAAAAACTCCTCCCACATTCTGATCTTCTTGGGTTCAAATCCTAGTGGTGCCTTTGGGGCCTGCTTGTGGTAGGGTTCGGATTGCCCGTGCACCTCCCGCCCCCTGGGGGCAGCCGGAGCTTCGTGAGGGCTGGGCTGGCCCTGGTGGGGCGGGGCCTGCAGGGGCTGGGCGCGGCCCTGAGGCTGCGGGGCCAAGCATCTGGAAGCGGAAGCGGAGGCAACGCAAACAAAAGACAAAAAACCATCGAACAGCCGGGCTTGTAAGACCACGCCCGGCCAACATTTCAAAGACACCTGAGTGGGCGACGGGCAAATGCAATGCTAAATGTATCGATCTTGATGAACTGTGCCGAGAACTGTGCTGTGCTACGCCGTGCTGAACTGCAATGTGCAATGCCGCGATTGTGCTCTATATATAGCGTTGTGGATCGAGTCATGTTGCCACCGAGTCCTGACCGAACTGATCTGGATCTTAAGCTCGAGTTGCCTGAGCAGATGGTAGCTGCCCCAGAGCTAATCGACAGACGTGACATGCCAGGAGGACGCGCCGCGGAACGTCCCGAGGGACGCGCCAGGCGACGTGCCAGGGGACGTGCCATGGGCACGCACCGCAGCATGTGCCAAGGGGACGCGCTGCGGAACGTGCCAATGGACGTGCCGCGCGACGTGCCAGGTGACGCGCCGCGCGACGTGCCAGGTGGACTCGCCACGGAACGCGCCAAGGAGCGTGCCAAGGTGCAATGTTCAGCGTGTCGATCTTGATGTACCGTGCCGAAGGCTGTGCTGTGCTGTGCTGTGACGTGCTGAACTGCGATGTGCCATGCCGCGATTGTGCTCTCTCTCTATATATATATATATATATAGCGTTGTGGATCGAGTCCTCGTTGCCACCGAGTCCTGACCGAACTGATCTGGATCTTAAGCTCGAGCTGCCTGAGCAGATGGTAGCTGCCCCAGAGCTAATCGACAGACGTGACATGCCAGGAGGACGCGCCGCGGAACGTCCCGAGGGACGCGCCAGGCGACGTGCCAGGGGACGTGCCATGGGCACGCACCGCAGGATGTGCCAAGGGGACGCGCTGCGGAACGTGCCAATGGACGTGCAGCGCGACGTGCCAGGTGGACTCGCCACGGGACGCTCCGCGGAACGTGCCAGGCAACATGCCAGGCTGCAATGTTGGTATCGATATTGATGTGCCGTGCCGAGGGCTGTGCTGTGCCTGGGCGACCTGGACACGTGAAAACACGCGTTTCGCTCAAGACGTTCTCAGCACATCCTCATGCTAGACATCCGCCTGGGCGACCTTGACACGTGAAAACAAGCGTCTCGATCGAGACTTCCTCGACACATCCTCATGTTAGACATCCGCCTGGGCGAACTGGACACGTGAAAACAAGCCTCTCGTTCGAGACATCCTCATCAAATCCTCATGCTTGACCTCTGCCTGGGCAACCTGGAGGCGTGAAACCAAGCGTCTCGCTCAAGACATCCTCAAGACCTGGGCACGTGAAACCAAGCATTTCACATGAGAGATCCTCTAAATTCTGGTCCCCAGGAGAGGACAATCTATAACACAAAACAAGCGTTTCGCTCGAGACATCCTCAACAAATTCTGAAAAACAAGCGTTTCACTAGGGACATCCTCAAATTTTAATTCGCCGGCCCTCTTCCCACTCGTTATTTATCGCAGAAGAAATCCGCCGGCCCTCTTCCCGTCAGATCCGGGGGTAAACCTCTAAAAGAGCACCCTGGGCCTGCGCCCTTTCCGGGAAAAACCGCACATGGTATCCCTACCCCCGTCGCACACACTTGAAGATGCCAGGGGCACGAAAGCTCGGTCTTGACGCACATCGTGCCCACGATGATGAAAACGAAGAAATATTCGGTGAAACATTCAACGGCAGAAACCGTGACAAACTCAGGGGCCTTCCGTGACACGCCCAAAGGCGGAAACCGTGACGCGCTCGGGGGGGAATTCCGTGACATGCCCAACGGCGGAAACCGTGACGCGATCATCGCCTGCCCAGTGCATCTATCTTTGAGCCAACAGTGGACGCCAACACCGCCTTCCACCTCCTCCCTCTTCGACTCCCTCTCCACCTGCCATTTTCCTCTCCTGTCCGCTTCATTACATGCGCGCAGTCTTCTTTCCAATCACGTTTTTAGCTATGAAGCACATTCGAGAATTTGCAAAACACCAGACATCTCGACTGTGAAGCAACGTGCGCTGACACACACACACACACACACAAACACAAACACACACACACACACAACACACAACATACACAACACACAACACAGACAACACACAACACACAACACAACACACAACACACACAACACACAGAACACACAGAACACACAACACACAACACACAACACACAACACATACACACACTCACACACACAGAGACGCGCACTCCCACAAAGGGCGGGGGGGAGGGAGGGAGGGAGGCGGGAGGGAGCAGAAAGAGTGGAGGGAGGAGGGAACGAGGAGGGAGGAAGAAGGGAGGGAGGATAATAGAGGAGCAAGCGGCGCAAGAGGGAGAAGGGAGCAGGAGAAGAACGAAGCGAGGAGGATCGGGGGCCTGTCATGACCAGCTGGAACATGAGGTGCAAAATCTTCTGGAAACACTGTGGCGCCTCCCCCAGGAAGCGGCGCACCCGCTCCTGCTCCGGCGTCGGCTTTCCCCCGAGCTGCGTGTGGAAGAAGGAGATCATGTTGTCCACCTCAACACACAACGGAGCAGTGGAACGCGAGGACGAGGAGGAGGCGGAGCGTGGTCCAGAGGCTTAGAAAGGAGCCCGCGGAAGCTTTCGGTCGTTTTCAAAATGCGGTTTTCTCGCTTTAGCGCCGCGACCACTCGTCTTTAACATGTGCAAGAACCTCGCGGATTGAGGGCGGGTGGTTTTCCAAGTGTGACTCTCGCCCTAACGCCGCGCGCACTCGTCTTAAACATTTGCACCGGTTTCACGGATTGAAGGCGTGTCCTTTTCAAAATGTAGCTCTCGCTTGAGCGCCGCGACCATTCGTCTTAAGCATTTGCAAGACTTTCACGGAGTCCCATGGTTCAGCACCAAAACGGCGTGTTGGAATGATTCCTGATTGTCACGGCGCAACAGTCATGTTGATTTGCGGTGTTGACGTCCCAGGAATGGTGCTCTGGCACGATTTAGGATCGTCAAGACGCAGCAGTCACATTGATTCGTGACATTGGATTCCCGAAAACCGTGTTTTGGCACGCTCCAGGATCTTCAAACGGTTGTCTCCCAACGGGACACTTCCCTCAGTAAACATGATCGACCCACGAACCCGGAAAGGAATATAGAACTGTAAGACATGGCAGTGTTTTCAAGAAACACCTGATTGGGTGACGGGCAAATGCAATGCTGAGTGTATCGATCTTGATGTACCCTGCCGAGGGCTGTGCTGTGCTGCACCGTGCTGAATTTCGATGTGCCGTGCCGCGAACGTGCTCTATAGCGTCATGGATCGAGTCCTCCTTTGCATCCGAGTCCTGGCCGAACTGATCTGGATCTTAAGCTCGAGCTGCCTGAACACATAGTAGCTGCCCCAGAGCTGATGGACAGGGGAGCATGTCAGGAGGACGCGCCGCTAAACGTCCCAAGGGATGCGCCAGGCGACGTGCCAAGGGACATGCCATGGGGTCGCACCGCGGGACGTGCCAAGGGGACGCGCTACGGAACGTGCCAATGGATGTGCCACGGGATGTGCCAGGGGACGCGCCACGCGACGTGCCAGGGAGACTCGCCAAGGGACGCGCCACGGAACGTGCCAAGTTGCAATGCTGAGTGTATCGATCTTGATGTACCGTGCCGAATTTTTGTGCTGTGCTGCGCCGCGCTGAATTGCGATTCGCCATGCCGCGATTGTGCTCTATAGCCTCGTGGATCGAGTCCTCCTTTGCATCCGAGTCCTGACCGAACTGATCTGGATCTTAAGCTCGAGCTGCCTGAACACATAGTAGCTGCCCCAGAGCTAATTGACAGGGGACATGCCAGGAGGACGCGCCGCGGAACGTCTCAAGGGACGCGCCAAGCGACGTGCCAAGGGACGTGCCATGGGGACGCACCGCGGGACGTGCCAAGGGGACGCGCTACGGAACGTGCTGGGGAAAAGCGGTTCGCTCGAGACATCCTATCAAAATCCAAGGAAATCCTGGCAAAACGAACTAATTAGTCGAGACATCCTCGAAAGTCCTGCGCGCGGGACGCGGCACGCGCGAGACATCCTCGGAATTCCTGCGAGCGGGACGTGAAAACAAACATTTTGCCTGAGACATCCTCTGAATTCTGGCCCCCCACGAGGCCCCCGCTCGAGACATCCCCCGATGTTGCAACACCAGTGTTTCGCTCGAAACATCCTCAACAAACTATGACAATTTTGCAAAACCAGCGTTTCGCTCGAAACGTTTTCAACAAATTATGAAAGGCAAGCATTTCGCTCGAGACATCCTGCCAAAATTCAAAGGAATCCTGGCAAAACAAACGAAATAGTCGAGACATCCTCGAAATTCCTGCGCGCGGGACGCGGCACGCGCGAAACATCATCGGAATTCCTGCGCGCGGGGCGCTTTTCCGCGTCGCGGTCGGCTCTGCAAAACCAGCGTTTCGCTCGAGACATCCTCCAAAAGTTATGAAAACAAGCATTTCGCTCGAGACATCCCCAACTCTGCAAAACCAACGTTTCGCTCGAGACATCCTCAACAATGTCTGAAAAACAAGCGTTTCGCTAGGGACATCCTCAAAAACATGCCAGGAGGACGCGCCGCGAAACGTCCCCAGGGACGCGCCAGGCGACGTGCCAAGGGACGTGCCATGGGGTCGCACCGTAGGCCGTGCCAAGGGGACGCGCTACGGGACATCCTCAAAATTCCTGCGCGCGGGACGTGGCACGCGCGAGACATCTTCCGAATTCCTGCGAGCGGGACGTGAAAACAAGCATTTCGCCTGAGACATCCTCTGAATTCTGGCCCCCCACGAGGCCCCCGCTCGAGACATCCCCAAGTTTGCAGAAACCAGCGTTTCGCTCGAGACATCCTCAACAAATTATGAAAAACAAGCGTTTCGCTCGAGACATCCGGTCAAAATTCTAAGAAATCCTGACAAAACAAACGAATTAGTCGAGACATCCTCGAAATTCCTGCGCGCGGGACGCGGCCCGCGCGAGACATCCTTGGAATTCCCGCGAGCGGGACACGAAAACAAGCATTTCGCCTGAGACATCCTCTGAATTCTGGCCCCCCGCTCGAGACATCTCCAAATTTTGCGGAAACCAGCGTTTCGCTCGAGACATCCTCCACAAACTATGTAAAATAAGCGTTTCGCTCGAGACATCCTGCCAAAGTTCTAAGAAATCCTGACAAAACAAGCGAATTAGTCGAGACATCCTCGAAATTCCTGCGCGCGGGACGCGGCACGCGCGAGACATCCTCGGAATTCCTGCGCGCGGGGCGCTTTTCCGAGTCGCGGTCGGGGCTCCAGACCCCGTTATTTTTCGAGGATTCTGCGAAAAACGCTCCGCACCCTCTTTTTTACGAGGGAAAGCGGGGGTCTGCGGACCCCGTTATTTATCGAGGATCCGAGATGGGGGGCGAACTTTCCTCGAGCGGGCACGCACAAAACGCACTTTTTCTAAAAAAATCAGCACTTTACCTCGTTATTTATCGCAAATAATTTCGCCGGCGCTTGACCCGTCAGATCCGGGGGTAAACGGCTAAAAGAGAACCCTGGGCCCAAGCCCTTTCCGGGAACATGATGGACCCACGAACCCGGAAAGGGATATAGACATGTGCAGCATGGTCACGTTTTCACGATATCCAACTGGGCGACACCTCACGAAACATCCCACGAGACACCCCGCGAAACATCCCAGGAGACACCTCACGAAACAACCCACGAGACACCTCACGAAACATTCCACGAGACACCCCGTGAAACATTCCACGAGACACCCCACGAACAGGCAACCACTCAACCAGACACCCCACGAAACATTCCACGGGGGTGCGACTGGGTGTGGTCGTGCTGGGGTGTGGTCGTGCTGGAGTATGGTCGTGTTGGGGTGTGGTCGTGCTGGGGTGTGGTCGTGCTGGGGTGTGGTCGTGCTGGGGTGTGGTCGTGCTAGGGGGGTGGTCGTGCTGGGGGGTGGTCGTGCTGGGGCGTGGTCGTGCTGGGGCGTGGTCGTGCTGGGGCGTGGTCGTGCTGGGGTGGGGTCGTGCTGTGGTGAGGTCGTGCTGGGGTGTGGTCGTGCTGGGGTGTGGTCTTGCTGGGGTGGGGTCGTGCTGGGGTGTGGTCGTGCTGGGGTGTGGTCGTGCTGGGGTGTGGTCGTGCTGTGGTGGGGTCGTGCTGGGGTGGGGTCGTGCTGGGGTGTGGTCGTGCTGGGGTGTGGTCGTGCTGGGGTGTGGTCGTGCTAGGGTGGGGTCGTGCTGGGGTGGGGTCGTGCTGGGGTGTGGTCGTGCTGGGGTGTGGTCGTGCTGGGGTGTGGTCGTGCTGGGGCGTGGTCGTGCTGGGGTCGTGCTGGGGTGGGGTCGTGCTGGGGTGTGGTCGTGCTGGGGTGGTCCGCACCCTGTGATTTATCGATCGGGTCGTGCTGGGGTGTGGTCGTGCTGGGGTGTGGTCGTGCTGGGGTGTGGTCGTGCTGGGGTGTGGTCGTGCTGGGGGGTGGTCGTGCTGGGGGGTGGTCGTGCTGGGGGGTGGTCGTGCTGGGGGGTGGTCGTGCTGGGGCGTGGTCGTGCTGGGGCGTGGTCGTGCTGGGGCGTGGTCGTGCTGGGGTGTGGTCGTGCTGTGGTGAGGTCGTGCTGGGGTGTGGTCGTGCTGGGGTGTGGTCTTGCTGGGGTAGGGTCGTGCTGGGGTCGGGTCGTGCTGGGGTGTGGTCGTGCTGGGGTATGGTCGTGCTGGGGTGGGGTCGTGCTGGGGTGGGGTCGTGCTGGGGTCTGGTCGTGCTGGGGTGTGGTCGTGCTGGGGTATGGTCGTGCTAGGGTGGGGTCGTGCATTTCGCTCGAGACATCCTGCCAAAATTCCAGGAAATCGTACAAAAACAAAGGAATTAGTCGAGACATCATCGAAATTCCTTCGCGCGGGGCGCTTTTCCGCGTCGCGGTCGGCTCTGCAAAACAAGCGTTTCGCTCGAGACATCCTCGGCAAACTCTGCGGAGCAAGCGTTTCGCTCGAGACATCCTCAACACACGAAAAAGTGGCCCGCACCCTGTGATTTATCGATCGGGATTTCAAAAACAAGCGTTTCGCTCGAGACATCCTCAAATTTTAATTCGCCGGCCTCCTTCGACCTCGTTATTTATCAGGGAAAAAATTCGCCGGCCTCCCTCAAGCAGGCACCGGGGGATTAGGTTTACCAACTAAAAGAGAACCCTGGGCCGGCGCCCTTTCCGGGAAAAATGAACCCTTGTAGGGGTCTATGCTTGGAGGGAGGGCTTATTCCAAAATCGTTGATAGGCCTGAGGTTTACACTGGTCCCTCCTCCCGCCTCCCCCTCCTCCACATCATCAACATTATCCTCCTGCTCCTCCTCCTCCTGCCTCCTGCCTCCTGCCTCCTGCTTCCTCCCTCCCAATCCTCCTCCCAATTCTCCTCCTCCTCCTCCTCCTCCTCCTCCTCCTCCTCCTCTTCCATTACTTTTCTTTGTAACTCCTCCCTGTCGCACCCCGAGGCCAGTCGGAGGGGCGGGCAAGGCGTTTCGCCTGAGATTC